ACTCTTTGTTTTAGAGAGTTGATTTGGAGCAAGCTTATAGATTCCTTTCATTGAGAGTATCCACTACACGAAGTCAGCAGGTAAAGGGAAGTTGGGAAGAAAAATTATTCCAAACCCTTGGGCAGTACATAATATTTCTGTTGGCCTTCTTGCAAGTCAGTGGGATGTTTGAGGTGTCTTCTATTCAGTGCAGACTGGGGAAGGTAATGCCTTATTCATGGGAAAGACAAACTTGTACAGAAAGGAGTGTTGGGCCATCTGGATCTCCAACAGGGATCTTAGATGAGGCCTTTCCCTTTTTATCAATTTTTAAATGGTCTTGAAATCATCTGCATAAGATGGTGAGGGTAGAGATAACTTCTTCATTGGAGGAAGAAGAGGACTTGTCAGATGGTGGTGTCTTCTCCTAAGACACTAGCTCTTGTCCTCCAAGGAGTCCTCCTGATAGGGAGGGTCAGATGTACTATTTGCTGTTGGTCTGTTCAGTGCCTTTTACGGGAAGGCACCTTCTAACACTGGTCAGTATAATGATTCCATAGGTTCCAGAAAGCCCGTTCTGGTTGAGTATAAGGGAAAGGAGTGAGATACAGTAGCAATGAAGGGAGCGGTGGAGTGATGCCTCTGAAGGTAATGCTTTAGCACTGGCAAAAAGATCCCTTTTAGTTCTTTTTAAAGAGAAAACATCCAGAACTTACAGCAACCAAGTCCTCATGAAAGATTAAACTGATTAGTAATGGAGAGCCTAGCAATATGATAGGAATCTCAAATGGTACCAGAGATGCCATGGGGGCACAGTCCTTGCTTTTGTTGTGACTATGACCCAAAGGAGATGGTACCAGAGCATGCATTTACGGCTTCTTAGAAGAGTCGTCATATAAACTGGGACATGAGGTTTCCTTGCTCCCTAGCCTCATTGGTGACTTTCCCCTTATTTTGGGATCTCTCTACAGGGAATGGCTTTCTTTCACTTCTAAAGCTGCACATTGGTCTCTGCTTACTGAGTCCAAAGTTAGTGAAATGGTGGAAGCCAGTGTACAGAAGCTGAGAGGTGTTGGACCATCCCAGAATGCTGGAACAAGGACACTTCAATCAGTCTTCTCTCAGTGTCCTAGATCTGCTCTTAAGCTCAGAGAATATCTGGTACTTTGGTGGGACAGACATCAGCTAGAATGCCCATTGCTTAGGGAGAAAGGCTTGTGGCACGTATGACAGGATTTGAGAACTGGAGTCTTTGGCATAACGTGAAGAAGGAAGCCACAGACAAAGAAAGGTTGAAAGACAAAGAAGGCTCTGGTTGAAGAAAAAGACTCAGAGAAAGAGGGTAAATGTACAAGCCAGTGCTTAAAATAAATTAGAAACACAATTAAATAAAATGCTAAGAAAAAAATACAGAATAACGTAGTAGCTTTAAAGCTAACAATCGACACCACAACACTATCTCAAACTGAAGATAGTTGAGAAGGAACTAGATTGGTGGTAAGCCTGTACCTCCCTGTGTACCTTTGCACGTGAGTGTGAGAATATATAAGGCATAAGTATGACCTTCAGATATTAGTAACTAAAATATCTGACCATTTTGTTAGTTAAAAATAAATAAATAACCCCCTGAGAATTTGGCCCACAAACAGAATTAATATATCGTGTAAATAGCTCTTTAAGACTAATTTAACAAGTCTAGATTTTCAAAAAAAACTTCAGGACCCAACATCTCCTACCTGGGCACCTAAGGCCCCACTCTTATAAAGACAGGCTATGTCTTCACTATGGATCCAAGAGCAACACAGTTGTACTGCTGAAGCTGCACCACTGAAAGGTCTCCCATATAGCTGTTCTGTGATGTCAGAAGAAACTCTGCTTCTGGCACAATTACACCACCCTCAATGAATGGCAGTAGCTATAGCAGCAGTGGATGCTTTCTCAACGACATAGCACTGTCCATATTCATACATTAGCTGGTGAACTCTATGTTGATCAGGTTTTTTTTTCACACTCCTGATCAATACAAGTTTTGCAGAGACAAATCCTTACGTTTATGTTTATCTTTACACACAAAAAATAATTCATATCAATAAATTTAATAGAACAGTAGGACAGGATCCTGAACTTGCTCACACTTAAATGAACAGAAAATTTGCCACGGTCTTAAACAGGACTTGGGTCAGGCTGACAGTGTTTAAAGTTAACTACGTGTTAATCTTTTCAGAATGAGGGCCTAAAAAAAGAGTGAAATCCTGGCCCCATTGATTTCACTCATGTTAGGATTTCAGCATAGATTTTCAAAGGAGCTCAGCTCCTAATTAGGCACTTAGCTAAGTGGTTAGATTTACAAAAAGTGCTCAGAACTCTCTCTTTTCTGCTTGACTTACTGACTCCCATAAGAACTTAAATAAAAGTATATACTGTAAGAGCCTAAAAAATTAATATGCATACATATTTTAGGCAAAAAAGTTACAGGAAAGTACATTCATAGAAGATTATCATTCACTGAAGATGCTTATTCTATTTCTAAATATCTATTTAAGTTATTCTTAGAAGTACTCTCCGTATTTAGCTTTTCTCAGAAATCATCAACTGAGCAGGTAACTTCATTGTGTTTCACTGAAAGTCAGGATTTCTTAAATAATCCCGATCAGAAATTTGAGAAACAACAGAAAATTTATTTTTCTTATTACTTTTCAACCAGCTTTATTTCTGACATAATGCAATTCGTAGTAGTGGAACACATGAAAACTTGCTACTGTTCATGTGTACAAGCCTCTTGCAGAAGAAACACAGTGTTCATCCTTAAACCCCAACCAAAATTTGCAACAGCTCTGATTGTCATTACATAGCACACAGTATTTGAATGAACATCTATCTATAGTAAGTTTGAAATTTACTGTCAGCATTTGCTATGCATGTTATCATGACTGCACAGGGACTCAATGGGCCTATTAAAGGAGAGGGCAAGGACCTTTTAAAACAATGTATCAAGACATTTAAGTGGATTCTACTTTAATAGTCTCAATTTTTTAAGTTAAAAACATTGATGAAGAAAGTTTACTACATCTTAGCTCTAAGCATATTATGAGTTTGATTGTGTTTATATGCCCATGAAACAAGTAGTCAAGTGGAGAATTAAAATACAGATGTTTTCAGAACACAGATGATATATTTCTTTAGATTTAGGAGGATTTAAATACAGGCAGTCCCCGGGTTACATACAAGATAGGGACGGTAGGTTTGTTCTTAAGTTGAATTTGTATGTAAGTCGGAACTGGTACATATTGTAGGGGAAACTCTAGCCAAACATTTCTCCAGAGCTCAGTTTTATTCTCCCACACCTCACTTCCCTTAGTCCTTTATTCTCAAGCTGAGGTGTCTGCTGAGAAAAGCCGCTCCGCGTCTCCCTGGTCTGCTGGGGGCAGGGGGGCGCGCTAGCTTCACGTCTCCCTGGTCTGCTGGGGGGAAGCAGCTAGTGCGGGGTTGCCTCACTCCGTTTGTAAGTAGGGATCCGATGTAAGTCGGATCCATGTAACCCGGGGACTGCCTGTATTCACAGTGTATAGTATAAAGTGAAAACGAGCATATTTAATAATTTAATTTAATGTATAATTTCATTGTTTGGCATACAATGTATTGATCTTTGAAGGGTTTCATTAAAATGAAATCCAGTGAGCATAAAAGATTTGAATACAAAGTTTCAGAGTAAATTAATTTATTTAAACTGCTTAATTTGCTTGCCCTATTTATTTATGTGAGCTACTACAGCATATATCATAA